CATAACAAAATTGAAAAAAGTGAAGGGGGTCTGAATACTTTCCGAATGCACTGTATATTACATTATAACAAACAGATTTTAATAAACTCAGAGCAGTGAGATGTAGGATTGCACAAGAAGAGAAGCTAATGGAAAAGCTTCTCTAGGTGGATCAGAGTACCTTAAAAAAAAAAAAGATACTAAAACCATAACTCTAAATAATTCCAATGAGAAAAGAAATGAGGACAACAGAAGAGGCCAATACAATATGTCAAAAGTTCAGTGAAGATCTGGAAAGGATATACAGTATATAGGTGGTGGAAGAGGCAAGTCATCAAGGAAAAATTTATTCAGGTATTCCAGAATTGTAGAGAGGGTAACAGGAAAGCTAAAACTCAAGAATGTATTGAGGTTGACAAACAGTGCTAAGAACAAGATCTATTTAGATACATTCAACATAAATTAAAGAATCAATATACACACTGTTTACTGAAAGTGGAAAATGCTAACAGGTAACAAAGAAAGGGCAGAACTATTATTTTGGTTCAAATGTATTGAGCAAGAAAGTATGCCTTCTGCCAGCACAGCATGAAGAGCAAGATGAAAGGCAGGATGGAAGATTGAGGCTGACAGAAATATGGTCAGGGAATAGCTTTTTACTTGGAATAAGTTTAAATCTCCAGGACCAGCTGCACCCCATGATACAGAAGGAACCAGCTGGCGGTACTTTTAGATATTATTGTGGAAAAATCCTGGAGAACTGGTGAAGCACCAGATGACTAGAGAGCAAATGTTATTCTTACCTTCAAAAAGGAGGGAAAAGATCATCCAGCAAACTAAAGATCAGTTAATCTGATATAAATACCTAGGAAGATTCTGTATCAAATCTGTAAGCACCTTAAAAACAATGCACTAATGCCTGGAAATCAGCATGGGCTGCAAGTAATAACATGAAATTAAGCTGAGCCAACTACACATCTCTTCCCTTAGATATCCATAAAATGAGGTATATCTGGCTTGATAATAGTTCTTGTGAAAAAAAATTGGAACACTATTCAATTGCAACTGATTATGAGCCAGCACTGTGACATGGCTGCAAAAAAACAAACAAACAGGTAAGTGTAATTTTAGTTCCAGCAACAAAAATTATATTTCTAAATTATGATGAGTAGAAATTTCTGTTTTATGCTACACTGGTCAGGCCCCACCTTGAATGATGGCTCCAACTCCATGCAATGCATTTTAAGAAAAATACAGACAAAATGGAACACGTGAAGAGAAAGGCATCGATAATGATCAAATGACTAGAAATTAAGTCCTATGAAAAGTATCAAAAAGAACTGTTAACTCTTGAGAAGAAAACAGAAGACTTGAGAAGAAGCAGATATGGTAGTAATCTTCAGAACAGGTTCTATTCTCTACCATTCCAAAGTACAAGAGAATAAATAGTAGGATTAAGTTACAGGAAAACAGATTCTAGCTGATAGAGAAAAAACAGTAAAAACAAACTGACGCTATTTACCTAGAGAGGTAGTGGGCTCCCCTGCACTGGAGTACTCAAGTGGAGGTCAGACAGCTATCTTTCAGGGGTGCTTGAATTAGGACTCCTCTACTGAGAGGGCTAGTCTGAGTGGCTGAAAGTCTCCTTCTGATTCCACGATTCTCTGAATATTAATTTTCTGGGGACTAACGAGCACCTAACTAAGCCATTTAGGTTTAGCCTAACATAATTAGCTGCTTCGCCTGATAGTTAAGTCATTAGCTGATTCCTTACCCGAGATTTCCAACTCTGCCCAATGGGACTTTTTCCCATTGGCTACCTCTTCTGCTGACATGATGGTATATATTCTGCGAGGATCTGGAGGATCATATTTTTCCTTTGGCATCCCTGTTAGTCTGAAAAGAAAAGCCGTATCATTACTACAGCATGTAAGGTATAATAACAAATTTCTCATCATTAAATGACTCATAAGGATGAAAGATAATTGGTATATAATATGTAATAAAAGACTCTGTCTGTTACAAAACGCTAGAGTGAAAATTAAGCTAGACATAACGAGACCCAATCTGTAGGCTTACAATACTTTATTTATTTTATTACTAAGATTTCTATACCATTCCATTCTGGACTACCTCTGAACAGCTTACAAAGAAGAAAATGCATTAAAAACTATGCTATAATAAAAGAACCATCCAACTCAACCTAACATTTCCAGAAGGCCTTATTGATTAGCCAGGTTTTTATAGCTCTGTGAAAACCCAGCACAGATGAAGCAGTCTGAATATGTAAAAGCAAGCTGTTCCATAAAGGGAGGGGCCACCACTGAGAAAGTCCTATTGTGGGGTACCAGCAGATGAAACTGCTTTGGTTGTAGGACCCTCAACAGGCTATAGTCTCCATGTTTCACTGGATAGACAGATTCATTTTGGAGCAGGCAGGTCTGAAGATATCCAGAACTAACCTGATGGCAAAGAGTAAAATTTAGGGTGTTGGTGGGTTTATTTTATCAGCAAAAGGGGGACATTGGTGATCAGTTCAAAGCAGTATTTTGGAAGAGAGACAATGATGATATAAGTCACAAAGAATGGTTTATCTGGTAGCTTCTGTTGGATTTTCATCTTGTTTGGACTCGTTTAAAATATTTTCCCTTAATTTTATTATGATATAACTATACGTACTCTTCCATGGGATATTACAGAGTTACTGCATTTTAAAAACAGTATATCACTTTGAAGCTTGAGTGCACAGAAAAAAGATACAGAAACAATTTTAATAAATAATGCATGGATATAATTTTACATGCTTTACCTATCCACTGGGTTTGCTCTTAAGACCATCTTCTCTTCATATGGAAATACTATTATCATATCTAAGCAAATACTTCAGAAGTAAAAACAGAACAAACAAAAAAGTTTGTTCAAAACCTTTCTCTAAGTATGTATACTGTATATCTAACCATCCAGCTACAAACAAATTAAAAAGCTCTATAGTATTATCTCATACCTCAAAGTAATATGAACTAAAAGTGATAAATCTTAGCCAGCAACTTTTATATTTTACCATCTCTATATAAATGCTATTCTGTGGCAATTTAATTAGAGTCATTACATTTTTTTCTCTAAATAGAAACTTTAATTTCCTAGAAATACTAACCATTTTCCCCTATTTATTTTTTTGCCACACAGAAGTGGTCTAAATTAATGCTTAGGGTAAATTAGGGTAAATTAAGGCTTTCAACTGTGGAATACAGCACATAATTAATTACACTGTTCCTTGGCATAACAATGATAAAAGCTGGTATGGAATATTTATGTTTAGAACACTGATGTGAGCTTACAAGTGAAAACTTCTAATGTTTCTTTCTGCATTTAAGTTGGAAAAGAAATAAACTACACCTATGGTGTCTGCAGGATAGAAGACATTATGAACTAGTCACTGTAGTGTAATTAATTTGGGATTTCAAAATCAGGAATCTTTTTATTGATTTTACACTGGTCCGTGGCAAGGAAATGAAACCATAGTCCTCCAGGCATTGTTAGACTCCAACTTGTAGCAGCCTCGGCTAACATAACAAATGGGCAGCCAACTTCCTCAACACTCAGTCCTAATACTTGGTTGAGATCCAGATATAAGCACATGCAACTAGACTGCAGACATAGATCTTCCTAAGCAAATGAAATAGGAGAAATAATAGCTACTGAATAGCTGGGTCTCTGAACTAATGTTGCTTTAATTCTTCTGCTCCAAACAGTTGTATATCATGAGGCTAGATTCAGAATTAGGATATGCTGCTGATATGCTTTTTTTTTTTTTTAATCTTTCTAAGAATTAATGCTCTTTGCCCTAGATCACAATATATGCTTGTAACTACATTCTAACACAAAGGTTTCAAAGCATTTTATGCACAGTGGCCCTATCTGGCTGACACACAAAAATACATGAGCACAAAATAAGTACCTTAGCAACTGGCATTTGTACACAGTGAAGACAAAGTTACGCTCCAGGCTATAGATTTACAAGGGCATCCTTGAAAACACAAGCTGCCAAAAGAGTTGCATTCCAGTATGAAACAAATTGCATCAAGGACAAAAGGAGCGGAAGGATTGTTTTCTTAAAATAGCCACCATTCTGGATTTAACCATAATCATTACAGTCTTCTGCTCAAATCCTCTTTTCTATACAACTTCAGAGGAACATCAACTCCACCCAAATGTGAACTTCACAAAGTTTTAAAAATGAATACATAAAACCATTTCCGCAACTGATATACTGTACAAACATAGCATAATTATCTAGTGCTATCCAGCCTTAGCACCAGGGACGAATATCACTGCATGCTTTAATTCATGAGCTAGTAACTTTTTATTTTAGGAGAAAAACATGAATGTTGGATTGAACTTCTTACTTTGCTCTAATAGCCAATGTTTAAGAACCACTAGTTTCACAAAGGGTTCAGACTTTTCTGGAGTTATGTACTGGTACAGAACAGCCACCATCAGTTTTGAAGGCAGCTCATTCATGCATGACAATGGAGCTAACAAGAACAGCCCAGCAGTTCACAGCTTAAAGTTCACAGCCGCAGAACTCAGAGCCAGATATGAAGTCTGGGAATTGAGTTCCCCAGCACTACCCTCTCATTTACTGATTTCCTACTACTACTCTAGTTAGATATTTGATGGTTTAAAGAAAACAGACACCATCTCAATGTGAAAAGCATATACTCTGCACGAGAAAATTTTGGAGTCAATCTATGTTTCTCAAGTTAAAGGATCTTGGGTGGAAAGACTAGGAAAGCTTTCCACCTGGCACAGCCTGGAAACTGTTGTCTGTGAAATTAAACTTCTATTAAGTTCAGATGCAGAAACGTTTGGGACTGAGTTTTACCATCTTAAGAGCTCCACCTCATGAATCAATCTATTTCTAGACCTTGCTCTCTACCAGTTATTACAATGCACTTTTACAAAGACAGCTTGCCTTTAAAGACAGCTTGGAAATTTCCAGCTGGTACAGGGTGCAACCACTGGAGCCTTAGGTCCTCAGATGTTATTAGCAGGGGTGTGGAGTCAGAGTCGGAAGCAATTCTTAGGTTATTGGAGTCAGAGTCGGTAAAAATGTACCAACTCTGGCTCCTAATAAACTTAAATTGTTTATAATATAAATAATATGTTAAAATTTCCTATTCCATAGATAATTTGATTAACCTATTTTTTTCAGGATATATTTTAATTTCAAGTTCTCTGCAAATGTCAAAATATATATATTTTGATAAAAGTATAACCTCATTGTTTTTATTTTTTAACTTTTATCCTTGTTTAAACTATAAGGTTATTGAATGTTTGCAATTTTCTTAATAAATAAAATTTTAAAAACCCAGAATGTCTTAAGCTATAGCCTTTAGACTCAAGCTTTAACAGGTTAGGGTTCTAAAAAGTTGCCTGCTGGTTCACGTTGGCAGTGATGAAATGCCTCGTATGTTGCATGCTTGCAGTCGATATAGGAAATATATAATTAGAATATTTATAATTTATTTCCTGTATCAATATATAACTAAAAGAATCGGAGTCGGAGTCACCATGAATAAAGGGGTCGGAGCCAAAGGTTTTATGTGCTGACTCCACAGTCCTGGTTATTAGACTAAACTTTCCTCACCCCTAATAACTGGCTGCCTGGGGATGAGGGGAGCTGTAGCCTAAATCAACACGAAGACCTAAGACTTCAAAGATATAAGTCAGACAATAAATACATATTATATTAGTTTTATATTGGCCACTCAGGCTACCAGCTTGTTTCCAAGTTGTATTTAATGTCTTGATTTAAATTTGAAAGCTCAAAATGGAATATTTCCAGGGTTTTTTGAATGCCCTATTAGGAAAACCTGGATACTATGGATAGGACCTGTTTAAAGGGTAACTCCAATGCTTGTTTGTTTATTAGATTTGTATGGCTGCCCATCTTAGAGCAGGCTGCCCATCTCAGAGCAACTTTGGGCAACTCACAACAATAATAGAACTACAAACTATAAAACCAAAAATCAAAAACCAGAAAAAAACCTGGCAGCTCAATCATTTCTTGGGATGCCCCAACAACTATCCATGGACTCCCATCACTCTACCCCAGAATCATCCTGATCGCCTTCTGGAAGGTTAAAACTGTGGGGGCCTGCCGAATCACTGGGGGGGAGGTTGTTCCACAAGGTAGGGGCAGCTATCAAAAAAGCTGCAGAAAAGTAATTATTGAATTCGTTTCTTAAGGAGCTTAAAGTTCTTCTTAAGGTTCCCTCTTGCAATTTTCAAATCACTCTTTTTTTGAGTGATTTTATGCTAGAGCATGTATTAATTTTTATTTTCTGCTCTTTATGTGCACTTTTCAAAATTGTTATGGGACAGTGACATCTCTTCCAAATAAAACTGTCTTGCAGTAGCTTTTATTTGTAGATTTCAAACTGTATGTACGAATGAAGATGTCCTAGACTATACCTAGCAGTCATGCATTTGATATTTGTGTAAAGGATTGAACTTCTAATGCAAGTAGGCTTTGCCTACTTCATTTTACATTAGGATGTGAGGGTGGTGCAAAGCCTTGTAATTAAAGCATTAATAAAACATGTGGGAACGGCTGGGCAGCCACTCTGTTCCCACACCATACATAGCTATACATGCTGCAGTGGTTAAAACCATTATTCTTTCTTCCCCCTTCTTTGATACTGTTCCCACTGGATGTTTGTGGAAAGCCCACCTTGAACAATTTATAGCAAATACAATAAACAATACAGAAATAGTTCTTGGGAAAGCTCATGCCCTTGTAGCCAGTTGGGTCAGAGTTACAAGTTACCTTCCAGTAAACAGCCACAAACTTCTGTCGATATGAGCTATTCTGGTACATAACATCTTAACC